GGCCCCTGGTTGGGGTTTAATGTCAGGGGGTTTGAAAGGTTAGTTTTCGCCTGACACTGGCTCGGTTTATTTTGATTTTGGGTTGATTTAGGGTCGGTGCAGGCTTAGTTTAGGGCGGATGTATGGGTGCAAGAGTGCTAGCGTTGCCTTTGTGTTAATACTTTGCGTAGGTTTGGGATTGCTTTTCGGATTGGTTTGGGGTGTCATAGTAGGGCAGGTGTGGACATGGTGGAGGGTTGGTTGGATTTAGTTCCTTTTTCTGCGGGGGGGGTGGTTTGCAGCAGGGGGTATTTTCTAGTGTTTGCTTAGGTTTGGTTCAGGATTGGCCCATCAGCTGGTATTGGCATGGTGCGCTTAGGCCAGTTTGGGTCGCTTTTGGTTCAGGGTTGCTTGGGTTGGGTTTAGGGTTTGTTTGGAGTAGATTCATGCGGAGAAAGTTGTTTCTGTTTGTTTGATCCCTTGAGATGTACCCCCCCCCTCAACCCCCCCAGCTCAATTCCCTCTCGCCTCATTTTGGCAGATCATGTTTTGGGCATATTCGTTTGGTGCCGCTTGGCGCCATCCCAGGTGACAATTGCGCCATCTTTTGCGCTCAAGTCAAAGTAGTGGGAAGGTGTCTTTTTCTGTTCGGGGAGTCAAATACACTTCTCAGGTGGATGCAAGCCGGGCCATGGTGCAAAAGCAACTGGACGCACAGCTGGAACGGGCCATGGAGGACTTCAAGATGCGAGCAAATCGCTGGGCTGAAACCAAGGTTTAAGCCCAAACTGTTTTGACAACTTGCGTTAAAGGGTTGGTGGTTTACCCACAATAAAAGCGGACTCAACCACCTCTTTTTTCAAACCAGCCAACGGCCTTTGGGCTTCCTTTTGGTTTCCCTTTAAACCGATCTGACGCATGCAAAGTTGCAGCCACTATGGTTGAAACAACGCATCCTTTTCGGTTCAATTTGGAAAGGGTTGAACGTTTAAGCCGCTGGATTTGTTTAAAGTTTTAGCGCCCTTGCACTAAGGCTGGGTCTAGAGAGAGCTAGGGGTTGCGAGCCAGGAGTGCCCCAACATCCGGCGCCGCTTTGAGCTCCATTACAGGAACCGAGAGGCCAGACGAAAATGGGTTTCAAACTCGAGCGACATGGGCTCTTTTTTCGTTTGCTTGGTTTTTGCTGTTTGTGTGTTCCTGTGCCCTCGTGCGTGGGCGGGTGGGTGGGCGGGTGTTCGGGTGTGCGGGTGTGCCTGTTTGCGTGTCTGTGTTTGCGTGTCTGTGTTTGCGTGTCTGTGTTTGCGTGTCTGTGTGTCTGCCTGCCTGCCTGCCTGCCTTTCTGCCTGTCAGTCAGTCAGCCAGTCAGTGAGTCAGTCAGTCAGTCAGTCACCCTGTCACTCTGTCACTCTGTCACTCTGCCACTCTGCTACTCTGTCACTCTGTCTGTCTGTCTGTCTGTCTGTTTGCTTGGCTGTTTGTTTGTCTGTTTGGCTACTTGTTTGCTCAAGCTGTTCCATTGGCAGCAGAAGTTTTAACCAAGGACCTGCGCTATTCATCGGGTTGAACACCCAAATTGGTCAGCATCACGAGTCACTCAAATGTTCAGAGGAGGGTGAGGGAAAGAACGTTGGCGGGTAAGGCCCGAGAGGATGCCATTCAATTCACAGGGCACGAGTGTGCAAAGTTGGGTTCAAACCGCCTGTGGCCCCAGGTCCTAAAATGCCTGGATACCCTGAAAAGGAAATAGGGACACATGGGTTTGTGTTTTTTTGAGTGTACCCTTTGTAGGTTGGTTGGGATGGACCCAGACGGAAAACCAGAGTTGTTGGGGTCTCTCCTGTTTGGGTATGGGTGAAAAAATGTGTTTTGTCCTTTGGTTTCCCCGCTTGCCACCCCAAACAAGGGAACTCTCCAACAGCGCAAGCCCACTTTGACACATCACATGATCACTTTCGAATAGCTTCAATCTGCCCGTAGGTACAGGAGCGGCTGCTGGAGAGCCCCGGGCAGCGGAGCAGGCGGGGATTTGCCAGAAGCGAAAAGGGACAGGGCTGCCCAGTGGGTAGGAAGCATTTCTCACAAGAGAGGAGGGGCAAGGCAAGCATTCAGCTTTGCATTAATTCAACATGATGTCCGTTTTCTGTTTTTGTTCTCTTTGCTTTCGGCTGCATGGGCGTGACCAACAATTTGCCAACCGGGCCGTGCCGTGTTTTTGTACGTGGCATGTGCCCTCAGACGGAACGTTTCTCTTCGCAGCAAAAACGAGAGCACACTGCACAGATTGAGTTTTTAGTCCCAGAATGTAGGTCCGGCAAGCAATCGGCCCCCGCCATTTACGTCCGCATTGACGGGGCTTTCCAAAAGGATCCCTCAATGCCAGCAGAGGCCTCATGCGCCCCAAGCGAACAACCACCTGTCCAGCTCCTCAAATCTGCTTTGAGAATTCCACCAACCCAGGGCACCTGATCATGAGCTGACAACCAAGCACTTGATTCTATGTGTCCACTACGGGATCCCTGTTGGATTCGCATGGTGGTCTAATGCTGATTCAGAGCCATAATCATAAGTGGCAAGATAGCAAGGGGAGCCATTGGCAGCACAGCTTCCCTAGCCATGGCTCTGCATCATGGGTCACATTCTGGTCCTGTCTCAAAATAGCCCCCTTTTGGTTGGCACCCGCATGGGGAAAAGCCCAAGGGGAAGCCAGCTTTGTTCCCATTTTGCGAAGCACGTGAGGATTGTGGTGCAGGCAGCTGAGAAACCAGTGTTTTTGAGGAACGCGCCATAGGAACTGTTGGTTGCCCCTGGGCCGAGCGACTTGCAGGATCGTGGCCAGTAGCTTCCCGGAGCTGGCGGGCCGGGGCACCATCCGGCGCCAGCTGAAGCTCGCGCGAGTCAGTTTCATGTTTTTTGGTTTTTTGAGGGGGACGGGGGCTCCTCTTCTCCTTGTGGTTTCTTTTGCCTTTCGCCAGCTTGGCTCAGCAGTCCGTTGAATGTTTGGGTTTGTCTTGCACAAGGAAGCCTTCAAACTGCGCGTTTCCCTTTCAAAACATCCCTCAAAAGTGGCGACCCATGGGGGGCTTCAACGTAGGGATCCCTTTTTGAATTAATTTGAAAGGTACACCAAACTGAAACGAGCCATTTTGTGATCCCAGTGATCCCCTTTTTGCCTTTTTGCCACAGACTCATTTCTGGAGAACCGCCCAAGCGGTCGAAACCACGAGGAAGGCGAAGTTCGCGGTGGGGGCCTTCGGGGTGATCGGCACCGGGGGCCTCGCTGTGGGGCTCTTCGGAAACGTCGCCTTCCAAGGGAAGAGCCGCCCGGAGGAGAAGGGATCAGGGGTGTGGCAAATGGGATGTGGGAAGGCGTTCCGTCAGCGCGAGCCCAAGACCACATGGTCTACGACGAAGGGGCTAGATGATTACACACATCATCACGATCCCGAAAAGAGTTCCCGAGTCAAATCCGGACCCATTTGGCTTCGAACCCGTGTGAATCAACCTGGGAAATCATTGAGGAGTTCGCCCCAAAAGTGATCCGGTTCCAGGTATGCCGGGCGACAACCCTGTGAGGAGAATCGGAAGGTGCTGGAAATCTTTCGTGTACTTTTCTAAAATTGATTTACCCAACAAGGGGCCAAATTTGTGCCCATCGCGGAGCTCTGGTTGCCCACTCATAGCAAGGTAGCCATGTTGGTACTTTTTCAGGTGCGCCAAGCAGAAGTTTGAGAGTTTTGTTCTGACAGGGCACCTCACCTCGTTTCTGAGGCCTGGCGAAGCTCTACAAGGGCTGCCCGGCCTGGCGGGAGGCGGTTGCAATGGATTTCAATCAAACCCTGTCAGACCCTTGTCCCTGGCGAAGGGCAACCCAATGAGGTTGTTGAACAAAACCAAAAGCAAAACGGTTTAGACCAGGGGTTGTGTCGCTCAACCCCGCGAGGTGGTGGACCTGTGGGACAACAATCCCGTGCTGGAGATGGAGCCGCAGGATGAGGTGAGCATCTCGAGCTGCTCGGATAGCAAGCTCACCTGCGTGCAACAAGCGCGGACCCACTACCGGCATTTCCCCGGTTTTGTTTTGGCCGGAAGCTGACTTCCTGCGGCCTTCATTGAGGGACCCCCATTCCTCTTGCGCCGAATGATTTGAAAACCTGCCGCTCTTTTGTGTAACCAGCCATGATCGAGAGCAAGGTAACCCGGTAACCTTTGTACCCATGCAGTTTGAGCATGTCGCCACGCCCAGTGGTAGGTGCAGTCTTCAAAGAGTACATAGTGTCAGGTGGTTTCGCTTCGCGAATTTTGCATCCTCCCAGGCATGAGCACGACCTCTATGGAGCTGTGAGCCAGGAAAGGACATTGGAAAGGGCGATGCGAGGAGAAAAGCCCGCTCGCACTACAATGTAAGCAGGGCCCATGATGGCAAGTTGTCAAACGCTGTTGCACCCAACAATGTTGATCAAGAGCTCCCTTGACTCTTCACCGACAGTGCACGACAGACCTTATGCCTCCGAAGAACCATGCCCTGCAATCACCGTAAGCTCCGTGCCGCAGCTCAGGCGCAGGGGTCATTCCTTCCACCCATTTATGGCAGTCTATTTTTGACGTGGAAGCGCATTCTCGTGGGTTCCATGTTGGAAGGATGCCTGGTGGGGAAACGGCCTCAAGGCAGGCCGTCGTTGATGCCTCTCTCCAACAAGGCGTATGACAGTTACACAGTAGGTTGGGCACCAGGGAGTCGAGGGGTATGAGCAAGGCCTGTGGTGGATCGCCAAAAGTTCACACATAGTGAAGACGGAGGTCTACGTTAGTTGTGTGGAGCTCTTCCCACTAGTTTAGTCTCTAAAGCTTTCTTGCACCGAGAGCTGTAGAGTCAAGACATGATAGCATAGGATTTCGACTTCGCGTCCAAGGTCAACTTGCGTTCTTTGGCAGTGGTCAACTTATCATCATTTAAAGAGAAGCAGAAAGCGCTTACCACGGGTGGTGAAACCCGCCGGATCCAAGCCTTGTCTCGCGCCAAGGAGGAGGACTCGTCCAAGGCCTGTCCGTGCCGCTCAGCTTCGGGTTGCAGGGGGTCCCTGTGGTGGTCCCCGTTTGCCCCACGGGGACCTCTGCGGTTGCACGTGGCCGGGAGGACATCTCGTTGCCAATGTACTCCGATGAGAGCCGAAGCGGTCGAGGTGCAATAGTCCAACAGCTCAAGGCAACCATTGGGCAAATTGTAACGAGCTCATCTCGGGGTGCAGTGGGACCCTTATGCTTAAGGCCCTGTTTCGTCTACTGCCTTTTTTGGAGTAAGGGGACCTGGGTTTCAAAGTCACCCAAAGACTATTGTGACTTTAAACGGACCCTTTTTGAAACTGACCATTGACCCCTCCAATCGAAGGCCAAATGTTTCTGGCCTGCTTTGGCAACGACAAGCTTCTGGTACTGTACCCCATCAAAGGGCAACGGACCTCTTCAAAGGGGCTATGTCTACCCTGTTGCTTGATGGGCGTTCCCGGTTGCCAGGAAGACCGGGAGAAGCAGGAGGCAGAGGAGATGCAGCGCTACAAAGAAGGCGAGAGGGGCTCCGGGGCCCGAAGCTTGAAGTGTTCGACGATTGCGCTCAAAATTCACAAGAAAACCGCGGATGTACAAGCCGAGGGCGGGCCATCCTATGTTTGAGCCACAGCAGTTTGACTGATTGCGCGCTCAAAACGGACTTATGGCCTGGTCACATACTCGAGTGGCAACCAGACAATAACTAGGACCCAAGCCTTAGTCTGCAGTGACGTGAGCGCTTTGGGAGTTTTGGAGGTGGTTGTCATTGAAGCCAGCTATCGAACGGGAAGAATGGAAAAGCTCAGTCCTTTACCAATGGAAAGGAGTGACTTGTTGGCAAGGAATCGCCCTGCCGTGCGGCAGCCATGGCGTGTCCGTGGGTGAAGTTTCCTAATGTTGCTTGCGTGCAAGGGCTCTGAAATCACCAAATGACTGCCCCCTCGACTACATCACATTCATATTCTCCAAGCTGGGTGTTGCTTAGTGCACTTCCTTTGCCTGGCGCTCGACCGTCGAAGCCTGCCCGCCAACCCGCACTCACACCCAATGACATGCAATCTAGAACATGATGTTTCTTTTGCTCTTCTCAGACAAGACCATGGTGGAATTGGGGGACGGATGTGCGAGCTTGCATTTGATCGCTGCTGGAGCAGGCCTGGACGATCCAAGCAAGTACGTGCTGCCACCGCGAAAGCGCATGCGGGAGCTCTTTGGCAGCTCGGTGAGCACGGGGGTTGAGCCTCTGTTCTTCGTGGTATTTGGTCACTTGAGCCACGAGCAACAGCCGAAGCGAAGGCAAGTAGCCCAACATGTCCCAATCATAAATGCGTGCTAATATTTGTCCTGGGTATTCTTTAAATGATTTTAGATAATCATGTTGAATATTATTTGTGTTGGTGCCTGGCTGCATGAGTGCAGCTACTTTGTGGGTTGTATTTGGTTTTTCTTTGGGTGAGGTTCGATGAGGCTTTGGACACGAGAAATCATGAGCCATTGAGTAGGAAGCCATGGCCATTGGGCGGGCCGTTTTTGGCCGAGGCCTTCCGCCAGAGCCGCGCAAGCCGAACAAAGACCGGCGCGAAGCTCAGAGGTGCACTGGACACTTTGCCGGTCACCAACTGTTTGGTCAGTTTGGTTGTTTTCCTTTGGCCCTTCCAAAAGCAGTTCAAACAAGAACGCTGCTTAGCGGGATTTTCTGAAAGTGAGCCGTGAAAGCACAACCCTCACCGGAGCAAGGCTGTTGGCGAAGACGCTGCCGCCGGATGCTTTGCTCTGGGGACGAGCCTTGCCGACGCCTCGGAGCTCATGTGTTGCGCCGGGAGGGCAAGGCAACTGTTTTCTTCCCCGTTGGGGTCTGAATTTCGATACGGGAAGGGTTTGGAATAAGGCCCTTTCTGTCTCTTGAATGAAGGTTCCTTCAAAAGCAACCCTGAGAGCAAGATTCCTCCAAGGCAGGCGCGCGCAGTGTCCACAGACCGACCATGAAAGCTGAGGATGGACCGCCAGCGGACAGGACCCGTGGGCTACAATCTGGTGATTGATCGGGACGCCAAGGCGCGCAAGCTCATTTGCAGTGAGACCCCCAAACATACGGCAGTCTGACTTTTCACTCCCCCCCACCCACCCACCCGCCCGCCCGCCCGCCCGCCTGCCCGCACGCCCGCCCGCCCGCCCGCCCGCTCGCCCCCACCCCCCCCTTCCCCCGCCGGCCCGCCGCCACGTCCGCTTCCCCGTGCCTGACCCCGCCCGGGCTGCAAAAGAAAGGCACCCGCCTGTATAAACTCTATGTTCTGTGCCGACTTTGAAGGCATCAAATTTTGGTTGGCAACACTGAGGCGACGCCCATCTCCAGGCGTTCATGAGCACCTGGACGAATTCGGTTGCCTGATTCACCTCGAGTTCGGCCAAAAAGTTGAAGCGTTTGGTAGGGGCTGGGCGCAAGCAGGCACGAGCCACGAGCAGTTCAGTTCAATCTTT